ATGTAGCATAATTTTTCTTAAATGTTTCATATTTTCATATATTATCATTCAATAACTCTAACATTTACCACAAAACCATAAAAAAGTACTTTGGTAACATATATACATTTTCTATTAATCTATTGATATTGATAGCACCAAAGTAAAAAAAAAATCTTGGTGTGAAAAAATAATATACACACCATGATACTTGAGAACTGAGGAGTTACTGTAGGATAATCCTGTTTTAAATATTGTGTACCTTAAGTTTAATGGTTGAGCAAAATGACTTAAAGGTAGGCTATAAGGAAAAGGTGATAAGGCAACTTTTTACCTACAATTACAATAGAGAGCATTACAGTGGCACCATTTGTAAAAAAAGAAAAAAAAAGGCATTCTGAAAAAAAGAAAAAACTAAAACGTATAAAACCAGCGCTGGATTGAGAACTTGAAAGGTTCCTCACTTTATGGAAATATCAGACAAAACTTTATTTGCTTCTGTCTTACTTGAACAGAGACGCCCTGATGTTAACAGGAATAAATTGCTGTTAAGAAAAGAGGAATATTTATAGAATGGGAGAATAGAATTCAGTTACACTGGGAAAAAAAATCTAAATCTAGATAAGTCATTATTTCTTAAAATAAGTGCAAATTTTCTTTGGATTGAGGAGGAAAAAGATCCACTTTGCCAATGGAACAAGACAAATTACATTTAAAAATAAGAAAACTTTATCTAAATATCTTATTTTAAGAGTAAAAGCATTCATTCCATTGGCAAACTACCTACTCAAATTAAGGGTAAATGCACGTAATTTGAAAAATTTTGACTTATTTCTAGATTGTTTTTCCAGTGTAGAAGTCTGCTTTTTCTGTTTTGTTGGATTTAAAGATGAACTAATTATTTATTCCATAAGAATTAGGACTAGAAAAAGTTCATTCTAATGAAAGACATTGAGGTTTATCACACTGCTAAGCAGAATCACCACTGGAAATCGTGCGGCACAATGGGGAAGCTAGGATTATTATGAATGTCTGAAATGTCATGATTACAGAGGCGGACGGTAAGGAAATGACGCGGTCTGCTCATGCGCTCTTTGTTTTCTGAGAACCGAGCCAGAACTGAATCACGCCGAGCCCTACTGATGAACTAGTACAGGGGTAACCATTTAAAAATCAGCAGGGACAGAATAAAGAAAATCATCAACCAGTAAAGTTATGGAGACTTTTTTAATGATCTGTTACTTTAAACAGAATTTAAAACTGAAATAAAATGAGGTGCTTATGCATTCAGAATTTTCCATTTTAAAATCTTAAGTGTTTTTGAAGTAGAGAACAACAATTTTTCAGACAATTTCCTGATTTGCATGTTCAGGTGTTTTATAAAACACCTGAACTGAATGTTTGCTTGTTTTTTCTTCCCTTTTTTCTGTCTTAATGTTGGCAGTGGGCTTTAGGCTGCCCTGCAAGGCTTTAAACCTGGGTTTAACCGGAGACTAAGCCATTCTCAAGCACATATCAAGGTGCTCATTTTGAGCCTGGATCCATATTTATTTTTAATTCTATTCATGGTGGAGAATCCTACTTCACAGCAGCAGGTTGAGCCACTGTTGCAATCGCACCAAACAGGAAAAAAAACGTCCAGAAGATCCGGTTTGTCAAATTAAAATATAGTAACAACAGATCGGTAACTACAAATTAGAGCAAAATTCTTATATATTAAAAAAAAAACTAACACCGTTTATTTAAAAGATTGGATGCAAACTATTGGTTCTTCAACAGACCAGGAAGCAGATTTCTCATCTCCATCGGAAACTGCACATATACTGGATGCTGATGGGGATTTTTTAAACATGTCACTTTAAATGACAGTAGGCTTTCATTTCTGTATGTTTTGCTCCTACGAATTTAATGATAATATCTGGCATGTTCTTCTCCACCTCTAAGGAAGTTGGAGTGCAGCACTGTTTTAAAAAAATAGTGTAAATGGGGCTATTGACTTCAGGTTATCTATTGTAGAAACCTCCCAAAAACAGGGAGATGCAGAGAAGGAGAAAGGAACACCAGAATTATGACATTGTGTAATGACGGCCATATGGATTATGATATTGTAGGACCTTCCCTGATGTTATAGTACAGATTAAATGAGATAAACTTTTCAGCTTTCCATTAAAGTGCCAAAGAAGGCTGAAAATCTTTTAAATCAGATAAGCAGGAAAACACCTAAAACATTCAGGACTGTGAGCTCTGAGGTCCAGCATTCAGAATTACTGCAGTATAACACATAAAGTATTATGGTCAAATCGAATATACTCTCAATAGCGTGCTTTATATGGCTTTAAAGAGAGAATCACTAATTAAATTGTATTTACTTGAATACTAGTGCTGGTCTAAAAATAACTGAATAAATGCCTATTGTTAAAGAAATTGCAAAGACGACTTTCCAGAGAAAAGGGGTCACTGAATTTAATTGGTAAAAATAGAAAGAAGGAAAGCAAAGTAGTTTCTGTTTTAGTTTTTCCTGTGTTGCAGAACTGTCTCACCCTGTAAGATGAATACGGAAGCGTATCGAGAATCAAACGTTCCCTCCTGCCCTCAGACCTTCCAAACAAAATCACGTCATTGTCATGTGACTCCCCTGGATCACAGTCACCACCACCTGCGAAATATACAAGTCAAGTGTGAAAAGAAAGAAAAACAAGACTGTTACACAAAAATATTTGATATTTAAATATTTACTTAAAATAACCGCTGGTTCATATAAAAAAATGTCCTAATAATAAAAAAAAAACTTGGAAAAAAAAAATATATATATACCCATGGTAAAGTGGAAGCGGAGGTTTCCATAAGATGTGGTGTCCAGGTAGGGGGTACACACTCTTCTTCGACCCTCCTTCTCAAACACCAGCGCCTCACCTGACTCAATCTCTCCACACTTTGTCCCGTATGTTGCTCCTTCTATATCCCAGCTGAGAAAAAAAATAAAAATTGTGAGGAAAAGAAGAAGAGCTGAAGTAACACTGGAATCGACAATAAGAAACAGCTGTTGCTTTATGGCCCTCATCCACTAAAGTCCCAAATAAGGAAAGGTAAATTACTTGTGAAAACAAAAAAATGGTTTTGCAATCACTTGAAATGTTTGGGGTACATTGGAAGGTTGCTTTCCCCATTGATAGGCAGGTAAAAGTGAAGAGGACTGCACTACTTTTAAGAGTATTTGCATGGAGAACCCTCTGCTACCTTGCAACAGCACTCTGCAGAGATGCCTTTACACCTTTAATGCTCTATATGTAGGTTTTCTATATTCAATAAATTGTAGTAGATCATCCAAAAACTATATTTTCATGTTAAAATATTTTATTAAATATTTTCAAAGGCAACATTGTCATAATAAACCTGAAAATAAGTAAATAAATACCTAAATAAATGAAAATAATAGTTGTAAACCCTTTTTAAAGACACTTTTATTGCACTTTTTTATAACCCAATAAGATTATGGCCGCAAAAATCCATTGAAAAGCAGACAAACTGCAGCTTTTAAATAGATATATCCTAGTTCTCTTCAAGGTTTTGCCTCAAACGTAGGAACGTGATGAAGTATAACGTCTTTGATCAATATAGCCACACCCCCTGCTAAAACACGTAGCATTTTGTTTCAACATTTTTAAACATTCTGTATGCAGAGCTTAGAAAACACCACCGTAGGCAGTTCACTTTTCTCATGATGGCTGACTCTACAATTTAAAAAAGGTGTTTGGCCTTAGCCTCGTGAGACCATCCTGATCTCACGAACTTTCAAGGTTTCACTTGCAGATCAGTCTGGAGACTCTCCGTTGAGGAAAATTTGGAGCC